GTAGATAGTTGTATGTCATAGTTGCACATCCTTCTAGTTGCTGTATGTGGGACATGGCCTCAGCATGGCCGGAGAAGCGGTGCGTCAGTGCGCGCATGGGATCCGAACCCGGGCCGCCAGTAGCGGAGTGCGCGCACTTAACTGCTAAGCCACGGGGCTGGCCCCCCATGTTTACGTTTTTTTCTGTGTACCTTTCTCCCTACCAGAAGGAGACCAGAGGCCTCATTATATCGCTGTGCTTTCAGACTTACATTAAATAAAATTTCAAGAAAGAAAAGAAACCAGAGTCCATGGGATTAGAATGAGTCTGTAGCTGTGGGCTGAAGAGTTAACCAGGTGGAAGGGCCTCAACCTTGTGTGTTCTTCACTGCCAGCATTCCACGATTAAACTTCATTTGCAAAGGTTTACAGAATTTTCTGGGGTTCTTTTGGGTAAAATATGTTTTTTTCTGTATTTTAAAAGTAATAAGAAATTATAAATAACTTGGAAAATCCTAAAAATATAGGGAATAAAAGAAAGTCACCCATAATTCTACAGCCCACTGAGGAATTCAGTTAATATTTTGATGTACTTCATTCCAATTATCCACATAGTATTTTTATACACAAACTTGGGCTCACATTATACATAGTCTATTGTTTTTCATTTGCAATTATTTAATTTGAAGAACACCATGCCATTAAGTATTTTTCTTTAAATAATTTTAATTTTAGTATAATATTCCACTCTGTAGGCACAGCCTAAGGTTTTCTTTCCCCTTGAGTGTTTAAAGCAATCTCCTATGATTGGATATTGATGTTGTTTACATGTTCTTTTCTATTATAAATCATGTTGCAGTGAACAGCATTTAAGTAAAATTTTTGTGCATATCCATGATTAATTGCTAAAGATACATTTCTTCTACAGCTAGAACTTTGGATAAAAAAATTTAAACTTTTCTTTAAAGGTTTGGATATCGATTGCAAATTCCCCCCACAACTCCAAAAAATTGTATCAATTCATACCCCTTTCATCAGTGCGATGTTTCTCTATTTTAAAAAATTGCAGTGTTGGCTCTCTTCATAAAGAATTGTCTTTTCCTTTTATTAAAAATCTTTCCTTCTGCTTTTTCTCTTCTTGCTTTTGCATTCCCTTATCAATTTCTATTCCTTAAGTTTTATAAACTACAGAACTAGATCAATTGAATGTGTTCTTTCCACTACCCGTGCACATATGCGCATCCTCTTCTGTCGTGTGTTCTCTCCCACCGTGGAAGATTACTGCCTTAGAGAATCATGTAAAGCAGGACTCTGTGAAATTTACTCTAAGAAAACTAAGAAAGGCCTGGCTTGATGAGGCCTGAGTTGAAACGTTTCTCTTGGCAGTGAATTTCCTGCAGTTCAAAAGCCTATCAGTGCCTCAGACCCTGGCTTGATCTGTGCCTCCCTCTCGTCTTCTCCAAGCTAACTTATCCTGCCATCCACAAGTAGTCAGCGGCCCTGCTCGCCTCCTCCACGAGGTGCTCACATCAGCATCCCTGCTCCCATCTCTCTTGTTTTGCTCTTTATATGATACCCAGGCTATTCCTGATTCCAGACATCAGGCTTCAGAGGTTGGAGTTCTGCTTTGTACCCCAGTAATGAGCTTTCCCACCCTGTCCCTCACTCACTCAGTGCCAGCATTGCTGCTTGTCATCCAGTTCTCAAAACCCTGATGGCCTAACCCTTTTCTCACTGGAATTAGGCCCCCATGCCTTCTATGACCCAGTGTAGAACACTGTGCCTGCTCAACACAATGCTCATAATAAGTATTTGTTGAGTAAATGAATGAATTGGAAGCATTCTCTTGCTTGAATTTAACTCTATGTCTTGGGCTTAGTTGAGACATGTTAACACAATACTTATATTTCACTTGTCTTTCTCTCTCCCTTCCTTCCCAGATTTGTTTCATTTTCTAGTTTCTCTACACCAAGGACTGTACTAGACACTTTACACGTGTTATTTCTAATCTTCACAACAATTTTGCAAGACAGGCGTTACCATCCTTATTTTATGTATGAGGAAACTGAGGGTCCCAGAGGTTCATTAATTTCTCCAAAGACACTCGGCGAATCAGTGGTTGACCTCACTTCTCCATGGACCCACTCCTAAAATCACAAATCCTTGGCCCCATTCCTGAGGTTTCTATACGTTCTTTTTTTGACTTTCCCAGGACCCTGACCTTATCCCAATGGATCACCAGCATCCTTGCCTGAATCCAAGTTGAGACGGAAGGATTGATGAGGGAAAGACAAACCTGAGGGGTCTTGCCAAGGGCTTGACATGAGAGATTGAAGCCGGGGACTGAAGGAGATAGAGTAGCCCAAAGTATCTCCATATTTTCAACCTGAGAGAGCAGAAGAGTGGCGGTGTCACCAAAAGAAATGAGTAGTTGGGAAGTCTTATTCCTGCAGGTGGTTAAATCGGATCGTGGTTGGAGTTCCAAGGGCTCCTGACTCCCTGGTTAACTATGGGCAAGTCTCCTAGCTTTTCTGAGTCTGTTTCCTCTTCTTTTCCCTGGGCATCATCTTACCTGACCCTCATGTCTGTCATTGGTTTGCTGATCAAATGTGAATGTGTTTTGTAAGGGGTAAAGCTGTACATACACATTAGCTGTCATCCCTGTTGTCAGATATATTATTACTAGACTCAGATTGTAAATGGAGACACCAGCTTCTTGGGTAGAATACGTCTATGCCAGGTGTCAGCCAACTGTGGTCCGTGGGCCTTATCTGGCCTGCTGCCTGTTTTTATACAGCCTGTGAGCAAAGAATGTTTTTTATATTTTAATATGGTTGAAAAAATCGAAAGAAAAATGTTTGTGACATACAAACATTACATGAAATTCAAATTTCAGTGTCCATAAATAAAGTTTGTTGGAACATAGCCAAACCCATTCATTTGTGTGCCGTCCATGGCTGCTTTCCCTCTGCAGTGGCAGAGTTGAGTAGTTGTGACAGATTGTATGACCAGCAAGGCCTAAAATATTGACTGTTTGGCTCTTCACAAGAAAAGTTTGCCAACCTCTGGACTGCACCTTTTGAGGGCCGTTTCTGGATCTGCCCAACTGTGTCCTTCCTTCCTGTCTGTTGAAGCTCCCAGAAAGGAAAGGAAATTTAAGGAAATGTTGATTAAAAAAAATTTTTTTTTTACTGATCTCTTTTGTTTGATAATAAAGGTAAAAAGAGGATGTATTTATCTTTTTTCTTCTCTTGATGCTTTTTAAAATGAATTTTTATTCAGTGATGGAATGTTGTTATAACTTTAAAAGGCAGTTAAGGATAAAAACCCCACTACTAACCACAAACCACCCTTAACGTGGCCATTCTAATGCATGTTTTCATTTTGATTGATGCTTCCCTCTACTCTGGCACACGTGTTTCCAAATGGTTGTAATAATGGTCTACATAACATTTCATAGTTGATATAGTCCTTTTGAGTTGGCTCTTAAAAATATTACTTGATTATTGCTTTTATTTTTTCATAGTGGTTATGTTGTGATGGAATTATACAGTTTGCAAGCTATATATATTTCAGAAATTCTTCCTGCTCTTGCCTTTGGTCAAAGTTTTCTTCTTCAGCTGTGAATACAAATGCTTCTCTTTGGTGCCAGTGCTGGGCTGCCCTGGCTTGCCAATTGCTCCTTCCTACCTTACTCTGCTCTGACATTGATTCAAGTGCAGAATTCCCATTGAGCTTAAAAACCAAGAAAGATGAGGAATACAGCTAAGGAGAAAATGTCAGATAAGAAAAGAACTTGATATTTTAAAGATGATTTTCTCTCTCCTTCCCCAGACCTCCCCCAAAGCATTCAATAATAATATAAAATACATTTAGCAAACAAAAATATTCTCTGTTCATTAGTGAGGGTATGGGGGATATATTTGTGTTCTCTGTTACATTTTTAAGTAGATAAGAATAAAAACAAGACTATTACTGTCATGTTAATACTGTGGACACTTTAACTGTATTTCATGCAATAAAACCATTGTACCAAATTACCTTAATACTATGAAGTATAAGTTATCAAATTAACAATGCAATGAAATATGAGTAAAAAGATAGCTATTTAAATTTTGTTCTCTTATTTTCCCTAGTGAGAAGCTGGATGGAAAAACTAAAAGACAAGGTAAGAGAACTGTTTTCTTCCTTTGGATTTATCTTAAAGGACATGGCTTTGCCAAATAAAAGATCTTCAGAGTAACGGAGATTTAATTCATTATTCTGATTCTGGTAGTCTATGCAAAGATACAGGGTCACTTCCAGGTGCCCAGCAAGAAAGAAGATCTTCCCTTTAAGTTCCTCCTTGTATAAAGACTTATTCTTCAGAGCACCATTCGTTCTTATGAAGGCAGCATCTGATGTGCTCAACTGAATAATATTCTCGACATATCAAGGTGCAGTTTCTTTTAGGAAATTTCAGGGGTGTAATCCCATTCTATTTGGTGTTTCTTGTCTCAATGCAAGGCTCTTTTAAGTCTGATATTCCTGAATAAGGAAGAAATACCTTGGGTTTTGGAAGGCATTGATTCTTCTGACCCAACGGCGGACTTGACTAAGAATAAAAGTTTGTGATTGAAAGGGCATCCTTAAACCATAGTGGAGGTGGGCTAAAAACACCTGAACACCGGAGCACTCTCCTTAGACGCACTTTTATGTGGTCTCTCGTTGTGCCACTACTTACTAGATGATAATGAGCTGACCTGTCTGGAATAGCCGACTATAGAAAAGTGTTTTCTTCTCTTGCGTTAATTCTGCCATCTACATCTGTGATTGACAATATTAACTTCCTTCCAGGTTCATATTATGCATTTTCTTTTAATTTTCAACACTCTCCAAGTTTTCATTTTTGGTTACCTTATAATTTTAAACTGGAATTACTCATAAAAATATTGATGGAATCCTGAATTTCTTGCTGTAGCCTGTGTCAGATACCATTACTATAATTCAGCTCAGATTTAACGGGGGGTTTAGTTAAATGGAAATCTTTTCAACTGCCAGATATTGAGTTACACCCAATTCACCCATCTCAGAATATACTTCTGTTGAAGGTATTCCTTAACTTTTTTATTATTTGGGATCAATTTTCCCCGTATTTGAATGATTAATATTTATTTACAGCTTAATGTTAAAGAATAAAAGAAAGCATCCAACTAAAATTATGTAATTATATTAATTCTCCTCATTATTATTTTTCTGCTTCTCAGTAAAAATTAGCATATATGGTCTTTGAGAATGAGACTATTTTGTGTTCATACATGTTAAAAGTGATGTTGAAAATTTTTAAGCCTGTTGAAGTCAGCAGAGGCCATTTTGGTATCTAATGGGTCCATTTATCTACGGGAGGTATGATCAGATGGCTGAGCAAGATTTGGGGGAAGATAAGCTAGAACTGAGTATGTTTATGTTGGTAGTACTTCTTGTTATTTTTCAGGGGAAAATATGATGCAATGAAAAGTAAACAGGCTTTGGTATGTTAATCTAGGAATCCATATGTCATTGTTTCTATAGAAAATATCCTTCTGAGTTACAAAAATGGACAAAAAATAGACTTAAGAAAATAAATTTTGGCATGTTGCCTGTTTTGAAATTGGATATTGCAATATTTTTTACCTGTATGTATTTATAGTTTCACCACCACATTTAAAAATGTGTGCAGCTTTACAGAAAGGCTATATTTTCTATTCCAATAGACCTTTCCTTCTTATCTTGTCTCAAAGCCCTGATACGTTCTTTCTGCTCCTTTTCACCAAGAGAAATAATTTTATGTATGGCTCCTAGTTTTCTGGATTATTTTGAAATTATTCCAGCCCTCTCTTCATTTTCTTCTCTAGTATTTTTTATCAGTTATGTCTTTTTTTTTTTTTTTTATAATTTTATTTATTTATTTTTTTCCCCCAAAGCCCCAGTGGATAGTTGTATGTCATAGTTGCACATCCTTCTAGTTGCTGTATGTGGGACGCGGCCTCAGCATGGCTGGAGA